GTGTTGACATTATTTATTAATAATATAAATTTTGGTAAAAATTTTCGAAACTCGAAAGAGATGTCTTTCCTTAATTATGTACTTTATAATGAGGTACTTAATCACATGTAAGAATCCAAGAGGAATTGTATTACGATTGTTTCTTTTAGTAGCAAACAGTTGCAATATTTACACTAGTAATACTTGAAAAAAAAATTTTTTTTCTATTATTGTTTATTTTAACATTTAAAAAATCGTACTATTTATTTTTTCTTTGTACTTACATCACGTATTGAACCTTCCCTAATCTCCATGTCCAAATTTTTTTATTTAATTTCAACACTTTCAATTCCAACTTTGTAGGTTAGGCAAGGTAAGTAACATAGACTGCGATCGAAAAAAATGCTTCGAAGCATTTGTAGTGCAACACGACCATAGCCGTAAACGCATACGGGAAAAATACAGCCAAATGCGGAAGAGCGTTGATTGGCTGTTCGAATCACGCACCCTCTGTCCCGCACGCTGATTCCCGTACCGTGTGATTTCACCCTTCCATGCGGATCATGCGTGAAACGGAACGCACCCTGACGCATCCCCAGTTTTGCTCAGTCTTCGCGTCGGGTTACATCAGGCTGTACCATATATGTAACTCGTTTTTTATTCTAAGTTATTTCAAGATGAATAGTTAACTAGTACTAATTAATAACAATAAACCGATAGAATCGTTCGTTAATCATTTTTGTGTTATCATTTTGGGTATCGATCAACAGCGTAAGTAAATGTTATGTGTATAACCTGCTTGATTGTTGTCGACCTCAACCCTCGTGTCCGGTTACGTCGAGTTGCGTATGTAGGTAATGCATTTCTTATTCCAAATGATTTCGAGTTGAATAATTAATCGGTAGTAATTAATAATAATAAATCAGCGGAATCGTTCGTAAATCGTTCTTCGAAAATCATTCGTGTGGTATCGACTCTGGTATCGATAAAGCGCGTGAGTAAATCAGTAAAAGTGTTACAATTCTTCAAATACTATTTTTAAAAGAAAAACAAACTTCTATTTCATTACTTGACGTGTGCTCGATTGAATGAGCTATATGCCTATTCTGCATAAATTTTTATTACAGTTCAATGAATATTCGTTATATCGCGTAATTTTGATTTCTTCCGTTTATTGGAGACGGCAATGTTTACTTTGGACCGTAATCAAGATTTACGCAAAATAGGCTTTTAGCTTATTCAATTTCGAGTATATTAACAAAAAACTTTAAAATTCATTAAGAATGAGAGCGTCGGTCGAATTTTGTCCACAAAGGTGTTTTACCGTATATCCGTGCTCCGGTGGCTCGGATTAAAATTGTTAAAAAAATTTTTTTTAAATATGGTTCTTTTTTCAAATATTTGACCGCTTTAAAGGATTCCTATCCCGATTAAATTTCAAATGTTAAAATAACAACCATCCTTGTATGTATATGTACGTACGCATATGACATGCATATACGCATAAAAAATATATTATTTAATTAAACCGATGAAACTTGTCGTCTAATTACACGTTTCGACATATACATTGTGTCATTCTCAATATTTACCAAATTAAAAAATATCCATAACGATTATTAAGATCGGTACGTAGTATAAATGCGGAATAGAGAATGCGCCATAGAAGCAACAAATCAGTTATTCTGCGTTATTCCGAATAGCGCTATTCCGCACCCTAAGTGTAAAAAAACCATGGGTTAGTGCAACGAACCGTTTTAAGTGGAAACTAAAGTGAGCTCTCGAAAAGTTCTCAACCATTTCTTAATTTTCGCAATCAAGATATTAATTTCTAAAGCGCCGAATATCCGCCATCGCAATTGCTTGGCGCGCTGGGTGTGGGGACTGCGGACTGCCTGGCTATCAAGCACCCCGCGCATCGACATCTAGAATGGACCGCTGATGGCAATGGTGGGGGTAGAAAGACGATTAGAGTGAGAGGCAGGAATAATAAGATCGTTCTTTCTGTTTACTGTTGTTTCTAACTAGCCTGATTGGTTGTTGGATTAACGACAACCAATCAGGCTTCAGTAAACAGAGAAAGAACGATCTTATTATTCCTGCCTCTCACTCTAATCGTCTTTCTACCCCCACCATTGCCATCAGCGGTCCATTCTAGATGTCGATGGCCCCGCGCCGCGCACGCTGCCGCGAGCCGCCATGTCATAACTTGACCGGCGCGCCTGCTAATCTATTCCCACTCCCCGCGACCCGCGTGCCTAGCCATCAATGGGCTATATAAGTACACTTTGGCATTAGTAGGCCGAACGGACGTGCTTATTCGGCTATCTTTAACGATTAGTATCTTGTTAACTATTGCGAACATTGCAAAATGGTAAAGGACTTTTCGATTCAGTTTAGTCTGCTCTATCTACACAAAATCGATTGGTAAAAACTTTTGGGACACCCTATATATTGAGGCGTACAACTTTCGCGTGGAAAGTCGTGCGCCCATAATCGATGTACCTTATAGCGTTTTTCATTGGCAGAACTAGTGCGCACTTAGTGCACTTTACAAAAATCGACGTAAAGATATACATTTAATAAAAATATATTATATAAAGTGAAATAAATTCGATACATTTTATTGTGCTATTTGATAAAATAAATTTTGGGCATTTTATCAATTGAGATATCTCACTTTTATATTTAGATTAAAATAGTGTACAACAGCTTTAATGTGCACTGAGTGCGCACTAGTTTTGTCAATAAAAACACTATTAGAGTCCTTCCAGTAAGGAGTCAAGTCATCAGGGGTACCGATCTGTGATTAGTCAGATTTCGAGTCCTATTAAACGCCGCCATTTGCAGATACTTTTGATGTGGTAATGAATCTGTGAATTGGTGTGAGCAACTGTTTCATGGTGCAGAAGGCGCGAACGCGAAATCGGACTATCAACTGTCAACCATGGTGGAATTGTGCTGTTTCCAGCCACCCGGCAATGGCATCCTTCCGGTCTGATGTCTTAACTCCTACCGGAGGAGCTCTAATCAACCTCATTCCCCCCTCCCCCCATTGTTTAGAATCATTCACGCAAAGTGGGGAAATAATCATTGACTTTGATTATTAATGACTTTTTAATGAAGCACAAGTGCCGATAAAAACCTATTGGAGACTACTCAGAATCATGACCTTGACAACATACGTCAATGTCAAGGTCATCGACAGTTGCTCCCCTTTTTTAGTTTTATCTTTAATTTATTACTAAATTTAATTTATTGACTTCTATGTATA